GCTTCCTTGAGTGGTCTTATCTCACCCGACACTTTGAAGGGTGAGGCTTCGCTTTTTGGATCGTCTTTTGCCCAATGCGATACCTCTCATTTGTTGGTTCCCATCCCATTGGGTTTACCTTGTTCACAGGTTATCCCCATGCCAGCAAGAAAGGGTGTACTTGGCTAGACTTTGTTGATCTCTTGCCTAACGGGGCATGCTAACTCCCATCGTGTACTTGTGCAAGAGTGTCGCGTATCGATTCCACAAGAAAACTGTAATATTTTTTTTTCATAGAAAAATATCTAGTTTACTAATTTAGTTAACCTAGTTTAGCATTTATCAAAAGGAGGTTTTTAAGTCCTAAGGTCCTAGAAAAATAAAGTATTTAGCAATTGAAAGAAAAGCAGCCAATAGGAGGGTAGTTCATGAATTCCTTCAAGATAGATGAGGCTCATGCCTCTGTGATATGGGGATCATGGCGGTCGTAATTTTTTCTAAATGTTTTTTTCTGCATGATTATTGTCAATCAGAGACATAATACTCATTGTGCCTATATCTAGGTCAAAAGAAGCTTAGAATTCATGAAATTGTGGCTTCCTCAATCCTTATGGTATTTCACATGACTTTTTCAATCCCTTGGGATGATTGTAGAATTCTACTAAAATATATTTATCCTCTCAAAATTCTGTGATTAACCCTTCATGTCCACTGCTCAATGGTTAGAGGTTCTAGTTTCATAAAATATTTTAACTTCTTAGTTGACCAGACTAAAAGTAAAGTAAATTCGGAGGTTAATTGAAATCATAAGTCATGAAAGCATAAGAAAACAATTAATGGAATGACATTACAAAAAATCCACGATAAATCCACTACTCCCTACATCATAGGGACACGAAGAAAAGATTAACAGCTCATTATAGAGAAAATCATAGAAAAAAAAACTATATAGAAATCTATTGCAAGAAACATAAATATGAAAAATTTATGAGAACTTATTTCATCTGCAAAGGCAACCCCTTTCCCTCTCATACAAAATCTCTCACAACTCACAAAATAAAGAAAAGCTCTCTCTTAAAGTTTTCCACCCAAAGAGGAAGACAACCCCAAGGGATCCCTCAAAATCTCTCACAAACTCTCTTTATTCAACCTCCAAGCCTTCTCTGATGTAGAACTTCTTCCAAGAAGCCCTAAGATTTGATTTTATATTAAGAATTATGGTTTAAGCCATCAATTTTCCTTTCCTAAATTGTTTCCTGCTCGTCGGCGTGGTCACACCCGTTTCAGGCGTGGTCATGTCGCTAGACTACCTAGGTAGGTGTGGTCACGCTGCCTTATTGTGTCATATGGTATGGTTATGTTATTTCCAGCATGGTCACACTGGTCATGTTTGATAAGTGGTGTTGGCAAATCGCCTTTAGGCGTGGTCACGTCGCTTTAGGGCACTTTTTCACTGGGTTTTATCGTTCTAACTTGTTCGTATTCAATTAACGCATCATGCACAACATGAACAAAATACCATTCTCAAGCGTAAAATTGTGATAAATAAATAAAATTAACATGTAAAGTACAGAGAAAATAGTAGGTAAAATCACATAAAATTGATACATGTTAATGATAAAATAATGACTTATAATACTAGCAGCATCAACAATCCATCCTTTAATCTCCAAAAGAAGCTTTTGTATATGAATATCATGATTAAGCTTTACAAAGAAAAAGTCAACATTCTTTTATCCCAAACAAAAGTCTCCAACATAAGGATAAGTTACGAACATTTTAAAACAAAAAGACATAAGCATCCAACTATTTGGATAGAAGTCTCAAATTGAGCTGAATTAGATAAATAAAAAAATAGAATAACAGACATCTTAAAACATCATAACAAGCAATGATGTATATAAGGAAGAAGAAAAAAAACAATTAGCTCAGATTTAACCCATCAATTATGATGGGATCTCCAACCAAGAAATTGAAAAAAAAGCAAAACATCAAAGAATAAATTCCTTTAAAATGGTTGAAACATAATGCCCAAAAGATAAATGTTTCCATTCGCATAAATGAAGCAAAAAAAATAATATCTTAAAACAGAAGGACAATAAAGAAAAGAAGAAAATGGGTGAAAACCAGTAGAACCACAAAATAGAAAAAAAAAATAAGAAACTTTAAAAGCAGTAGTAGCCAAAGGTAACAATAAGGAATATAAGAATCACCAACAACATTAGTATTCATCGATCCAAAACAATCAACAATATCAGCAACAACCAATAATAAAAAAAGAACAAATGATTCCAACAAAAAAAAAGGAAAAAAAAATAAAAAAAGAAAAAAAGAAAAAAAAAGAAAAAAACTAAATAATAAAGATCAGATAAAATGAATTTTCCAAAAATGGTTGAGATTCTAAGCACAGTGAGGGGGCACATCATAACTAAATACACCATCCAACAACCTTACTCAACTAGCGTATAAATGAAGTATATGAAGAAATATGAATAAAAAAAAAAAATAAATTCCCCAATAAAATATGGTACTCTATTCTTAATTTTTTATTTCTTCCACTTCAATTTAATCTTCAAGCAAAATTTTCTATAAATGATCTTAGAAGAGCTAAATTTTTAAAAATTCTACCATTCCTTTTAAACCAAATATGAAGCAATAGTTTGAACAGCTAGTAGAAAAATTTCTTGTGAATTTTACAACCAATGCTTTTAGCATAATAAAACACTTAAAAGAAATTGCTCAGAGCTAGCAAGAAAAAATCACCATTAGGAACACAACTCTTCAACATGCTATGAGAGAAAAGAGCACTTAAATAATAAGTGATTATGAGTCTTTAAACCATTAAGAAGAATAATAGAATTAAGATTGACATTTGTACCACTATAATTAAGAAAATTAGATGTCTTGAGACCTTCATTAAAACTTCTCCAAGAATGTAAAGCCAAATTTATAGAATAACATTTATACCAAATACAATTTCAATCTCTAATTAAAAGATTTTCATTAATAAACAGATAAATTATTTTATTAGAAATGAAAAATGTCCCCTATCAAAAGTAATCAATACTATTATCAATAACATGAATGATATAAACAAGTTGTAAACAGCTAGCAGGAACATCCCAATGTTGAGGAAAAGACCAACAACCACTAAATAAAATATCCTTGATTTTAATAAATTTAGGAAAAATGAAACCAATAAAAAAAAATACTTACAAAACATCTCATGTAACAAAAATTCTTTGATCCAAAGACCATAGAAATAAAAAGGAGATTACTATTGTTATTAACTTGAAAAGAAAAATATCTTCTAATTTAAAAGCAACTTTGAAAATATCTTTCCAAAAGAAGAAGACTTAGGAAGAGTAGTAATCCAAATAAACCCATAATGATCAACACGCCAATTAGCTAAGAGGGAGTTAGAATTAAAATGTTTTAAAAAACTTTAGATTTACAGATAGAATTAATATTATCTAAAGTCGGAATATCAAGACCACCAAAAATTTTTGATAAAGTAATGGTTTTCAAAGAAATAGCAACCATCTTTTTCTCATTACTAATATGAGAAAAAAATTGATAACTAATGGTGTAATTTTATTTCTAAGGCAGTTAAATATAGAAGTAGAACGAAATGAACAATAAAGACAACTTCTAATAGTATAATTGATCAATTGAAAATGAACAACCATTGACCAAATGTTCTGCTTACAACCTGCTAACCACTTATGAAGCTTTTCAATAATAATATGAAAATCAACCATGTTCATCTCATAGCATTTAATAGTAATACCAAGGTATTTTCATGGTAAAGGCTTGATGGTAAAATCACTAATGTCACAGAAAATCTATTGCAAACAAGAATCAACAACCTTAAAATAGCAAATAATAGATTTAAAGAAGTCGATAACTAAATTATAAGCATAACTAAACATATTCAAGATCTTTGACATATAATGCATAGAGGTGGGATTAGTTTGACCTAAAATCAAAATATCATTAGCATAAATAGATGATTAAATTTATATAAGCATTGTTGCATATTAAATCATTTAATAACATCCAACATAGAGGATAGAACATCTATTATAATATCAAATAAATAAGGGGAAAGAGGACATCCTTGACACAAACCAGAAGAAGCATTAAACTAATCATTCGTTTCACCATTTATAATAGCAGAAAAATAAAAACCAGACGTACAAACCTTAATCCAATGATTAAAAGAAACAAAGAAGCCCACTTTAACCAAACTGTCATAAATAAATTCTCTATTCACCATATCAAAAGCCTTCTTTAAACCAATTTTGGAACAAAATCTCTTATCGGAATCATAAAAATTAAAATCATCTACAATCACATTAGTCAAAACAATGCAATGAGCTGTATCTCTTCTATTTTATGAAAGCAACTCGAGCAGGATTAATAATATTATTAAGAATATAATAAATTATATCTTTTAAAAGCTCGAGTATAATCTTATATAAACTATTACAAAGAGATATAAAACCAAAATCACTAAAAATTTGAGCCTCAATTTTTTAGGAATTAACATAATGATAACATCCTAGATTCGACCAGAGAGTGTTAGTAGAGAATAAAATTTTGATAACTTCAACAAAATCATCTTTCAGGATAATTTTTAAAAGAAATTCTTCAAGCCTGAGAAATATATATATATTTATTTATTTATTTATTTATGGAGCGCAAGATAATTCGAGCCAAAAATTTCTATATGCTTATCCCAATACTTTCCAAATATATATAATAAGCCTAAAATTTATCATACAAATCCACCACGCCTCCAACTGCCGGGCAGTGGTTCTCGCCGGGCATCTCGACAATTCCGCGGCAACGAAACATGCCCGGCTTTTCCGGGCAGCTACCTGTCCACATCCGATCGTGCAATGATGACGATCGCTACGCCATCTCGGTCCCAGATTGTGTGCATTTGAACGGACGGGATTATCTCGAAAGGAAAATAAAAAATTATTAAATAAAACTTTCTTAAATAAATTATTATTATTATTTTTATTTCTGGGTCCGTCGGAGACGAAAAAGAAGGGAAATTTCTGTTGGGAAAGATTCGAATACGGCCCGCCGGGAAAAGGAACCGGCGAACTTAACTGCATCGGCGGTGGCGGGAGATGGGAGAGTGTGAGGTTCGATGCCGCCGGGGAGGGTAGGAAATGATGGAATGAAGGGGCTAGGGTTTGGGTCTGGAGGAGTGGGAGGACGGGAGATGAAGGAGTGCGAGCGGGGAGGGGGTGAGGCGTGTTTGGTGAAGGAGGAGGATGGATGCATCGATCCCGATGTCGACCTTTTCTATATTGTAAGATGATTATCTCATTCCCTCTCTTGAAGGGGGTTTTAGTTTTGCAGAATGTATGCATTGGCATTGACGTGTATTTGTTCGTGTACATTTGTGGTGTTGAAGAAGATTTGTTGTTTATTTCTGTTCTATTTTGTCTGAGATTGCTGTGGATGGTAGCGAGGTGGATGAAAATTTGGAAGGGTGGCGTCAGGATTGTTCGTTGTTGTATTCATTTACTGCTTTTGATTCGGGCGATAAATGAATTGACATTAATTGACATTAGGCAGTGCATTGCTGCAGTGCATTGCTTTTTTTTTTTTTCCAAAATTTTAAACTTGAAATGAAAGTGTGTTTCCTGTTTGAACATTTTTGATATCTTTTCGAGAAAAAGGAAATTAAATTGCTGTAATTTATTTTTTATTTTTGTTCGATTTTCTTCTTGGATACGAGCTAATCTTTTATACGCGATGCGAGGCCTGTGAACCCGTCGATTTCATATATCTTAGGCAAATTTCTTTGTCTTCATTTTATTTTTCATTTTTTGAACTCTCAAAACTATAATGATCCTGATCATCAAGAGATGATTACAATTATAGGGTTTTGTATTTGGAATTATTAGAAACATCTTGCAGAAAGTGTGTTATTGGTTTAATCAAAGGTTTCTTGACTTCAAATAACATGCTTCATTTGGTAATATTTTTTAGCTACTTTGGCAAAATCTGACAGAGAATGGCTTAACAACACAACATCAACAAAAGAGGCCTTATTATATATATCCATGTATAAAGCCATAAATATGTCAATCAGAGATCCTTTTGGTTTACTTGATATTCCTTGTTTAGCTGTATGAGTAGAGTTTCTGTGGACTTTATGGCAGGATGTCAAACTCCAGCATGTCTTGGGGCATGTTCAGAGAGAATTTGAAGATGGAGTTTCTGTGGAGAACTTTGGTACGGATTGCTTTGTTGAAATTATCTCCTGAGCTGTTTATGACATGATCATTAATGGTGATTTTTTTTATAACTGATTTCAGGGGCAAAATTTGGTGATTATGGTTCATTCTTACCTACTTACAAGCGTTCTCCTTCCATCTTATCTCAGCTTAGAAGCCCACCAAAGGATACCAGTCACACTGTCGTCAAATCTCCTAATGGTTTATCATGCAAGGTACTTGCTTCTAAATAAGATGGAAATACCATTTAAATATGAAGGAAATTATTTTTATTATCTTAAAAGGATAAACTTTTGAATCAAAATATAATAATTATAGATCCACACTTACAGGGTGCATCTAATAACGTATCAATTCAAAACAATGCACCTACTGCAAAAAATTGTCCTGTTTTAATCAAGGATTTGGATTTGGAAGGCTCAGCCAGAAAGGATGCTTCCACAACTGTATCTACAACTAGAAATCCTGTAGAAGATAATGATTTAATTAATAAAGGAACCAAAGGTTCTATCCGGAATTCCTTGAAGGTTCGCATAAAAGTTGGACCAAATAACATCTCAGACCAAAATAATTCTGCTATCTACAGTGGCCTGGGTCTTGAGCTCTCACCGTCCTCATCCTCAGAGGACAGTCCCGAAGGAATCGAGGGTATTTTTGAAGATGGTGTTACCAATGTGTCTCAACAGGCCATCCTCCAGGTAATGTCCCAGCATAGATGTTCCTTTGGAAAATTTGGGAAATGCTTTCTAATGCGTTATTGTTTTTATGTGCAATGAAGCAGATGATGACAGACTTTCCCATTGCAGAAGATTGCTTTCTTTCCCCCCTGCAAGAAAATTTGCTGAGTTTGGCAAATGAAGGGGAAGACATCAATGGAAATCACAGAGGGGATCTTCTTGGTAAGAGCATTTCTGAGGTAATCTCTATTTCAGGTCAGTTGAATTCACCACTACGAAGCTCCCAGGACAGCAAAGATATTGCCTTGAAGATTCTTCATGAAAACACCCAAATTGGAGGGTTTAAATCTGAGCTAAATAATGATAAGGTTTTTGAGAAAAAAGTGGATGTTGAAACAGTGGAAGGGCAAGATCTCACCTTTCAAACCTCTAGCATCCCTCTTTTGTTAGATTCTAGGACCGCTGAATCTAAAATATTGGTCAGAAAAGTTGTTTCTAAAACTCAGGAAGACTCGGCCATAGGCACTAAGAAGACATTTGATGAGCAGACTGAATCACGTAGGATTTTGCCGAATGACAACAATATCCAGAGGCTAGGCAATAGGAACTCATTTGACTCAGAAAGAAGCATGGAAGGTGGTGGCGTTGCTGGTTTAAAAGAGAGAGCGTTTTCTTGTAAAGTGCAGCCTAGCCCTAGAGTAAATTTGACTAGGGGAGAGCCTTCCAAGAAGAACATGATTTGTGGGAACACTGATCTTTCTTGCTTGCTGAAAGAACGCATGGACAAACCTGAAAATGACATGGAATTTGATGGGCCTAAAGTTTACGAAGATCACATTATTGGAACTAAGCTGGATGATGCAAAAAAGGCAGATGAACTTTCTGAAGTCAAACGAAAGTTGAAAGTTAACGCTTCAAATGCTACTTCACTAACTGATCTCCCAAAAAAAACTACAGTTTCTCTTTGTTTTTTGCCAGGAAAAGATGAAAAGAAATTACATTCAAAAGAGGGTGTTGAAATCAAGTCCAAACAACTGAAATCAATGAAGGAATCACTGCATGAAGATCTCAAACATTCACAAAGAGAGGTTGCTTGGGAAGGAAAGGATGAGGTAGTGCTTGGTAAAATGCAACCTTTAATTGCTAAGAACAGGATAAATGATATTAATATAGTGAAGAAAAAGTCTAGGGTGAGATCCGTAGATAAAAAGTCAGCTTTTTCGTCGAGTAATGAAGCACCTATACAAACATGCACAGATGCTGCTGTTGCAGCTGTTCCTATTGTAATTAAGGATAATTGGGCCTGCTGTGATAGATGTGAAAAATGGCGCCTTTTACCAAGTGGGACAAATCCTGATGATCTCCCAAACAAGTGGACGTGCAGTATGCAAGTTTGGCTGTGAGTTATTGCTCCATGTTTCATTCGATTGAATTCAGAATATTTTTGCGTAATCTTTATTTATATGCTAAAAATTATTAAAGTATGTTCTTACAACTACTATCATTATATTTGTTCAGCATTACTAATCTTCCGGTCAACTAATTTTTAGGCCTGTTGGAATGAACCATTGTCTCATTAGTGAAGATGAAACAACGAAGTTCATGAATCCACAATGCCATGAATCCCTCCTTGAGAGCAATGCTATTCCCGACCACTCTGCTCCATCAGCATCTTCAGCTTCTCTTCATGGTATTAATCTCATTAAAGTAATTTTTATGCTTGATATTTTGAAGATAATGCATGTAATGAAATATCAGTCATAGCACCTGATCATTCAGATCATGTTTGGATCGTCTGTTCTGCTAATAATTATTGAATGTCTTCTAATAAATCTTAATGCAGTAAATCAAGCAAGCTGTCAGATGGGCTCGATAAATGACACGAACTGCAATTATATAAGAAGGCTGAGTGATGCTTCCATGGAAACACAAAACGTACACCTCAAGGCGAAGAGGAAAAGTCTTCAATGTTCTTCAAATGGAGGTCTGGTATAGCTAGGAAAACCATTTTAGCTTTGCTTGTGCTTGTTGGCTTTTATCTGATGTTCCTTTCCAATAAACTTAGGAAAGAAATGCTGGAAAAATGTGTTATTTTTTTATTTTTCATTATAGTCATTTTAATTTCTTTCCAGTTGGCACTAGGCAGAGCAAGGATTCGAAATTGATAGGGAAGGGATTGATCAATTCAGATATTTCTGGGCCAAAGAAGACAATCCATCCCGATGGCTTCCATCTTCTCAATAAGGATAGCAAAATAAGCTCTGATTTAACGCCAAAAGTAATGCCATACTTGGCTAATAGTTCCTCTGCTGTTGATTTGACTTGGAAGCAAATGGGGGAGCTTGGAGATAAATTTTTAAGTAACTCTGTGAGGGAGTTGAAAGGTAGTTGTTCCTCACTAAATGGGACCATGAAGGCACATGTCGGGGTTCATGCAGGCAGAAAATTTAAACAAGCAGGTCTAATAGATTCTGAACTTTCTGATAACTCTTTAATTCCTGTTAAGAAGAGAAAAGCAAGAGAGTGGCATGAAATCCAGAATAATCAAACTGCAATGAGAAGCCGGCATCTGGGTGAAAAGGGGGTCATGCTTGGGGAAGATAGCAGAAGTGTGAAAAAGAAGGAAAATAAGTTTAATACATCAAACTCTGCAACAGAGGCTTATAGCACAAGCAAAATAACCAGTGCAAGTGGTAAGTCACATGATAAAACCAAAAGGACTTGTAGAACTGGGAAACTGTTTATCGATGACAAGGTGGATAACCAAGTTGCTGCCGTACACGCTTCAGCCGAAGGTAACTTGAATTCCTTAAAATTGTCTTGTTCAAGCTCTCCTCTGTATTTTGTTTTTTCATCTCCTTTAAAGGCTTGTAGTTCTGATAAGCTTTCTCAAATAGGAAATTCAGTTGGTAAGACTTATGCTAATAATTTAGGGGCATCTGCCATTGAAAGATCAAATAGATGCTTCAGTGGAGAGGTCAATGGCAAGATGAGCCAAGGCTCAAGAAAAAAGGAAAGCAGTTGTTTTATCCAGGGAACATCAGTAGGAAGATCTCCAGGTTGTAAATCTATGGTTTTGAGTCCGTTGGATGGGGTTTGTGGTGATCCTATTAAGGCATCATCCATCCTAGATTGTGGTAAAGCCGAAAGTGAAGCTGTTGGAATCAATGTGGTAAATTCTGTGCCATCCTTCTTTGATCATCACGGTACATATGATACCGATCCTTTGAACCCATTCAAAAATCTTGGCAAATTTAATGAAGCCGCTGGGAATGCTGATGATATTGCTAGTAGACATTGCGAAGACGGGACTGTGATATCTGAGTCAGGTAAGAGATTATGCTTCAAGAATAGGAACAAAACATTTCAATGTGAATTCAATAAAGAAGGTAAGATGAAGTTATCAAATATTTTTTCTGAAGAAGAAGAACTTCATTCTTTGAGGAATGGCATGCAAGGCACACCAAATCAATGTCTTGATTTGATGTCAAGCACAAAAGCAAAAGGGTTCGAAGTGTGTCCTACTGGTGAAACAGTTAATGGTTTGCTGGAATTGGATAAACTGGAAAAGGCTTCTGATGGTAAGAACGTTGCACGAAATGGTAATTTTAGGCGTGAAAAGGCTGAAGAGCCTTCTGATCAGCCCCCTATGAGAAAATGTGTAGCCTCCAATGCTGCTCTTGTGGCCATGAAAGAGGCCAAAGAATTGAAACATGCAGCAGACCGTATGAAGGTTAGCTTGATTCCTGCAATATATCTGTTAAACTTAATTCTTATTGAAGGAAAGCCATTATCTTCTTCTGCATGATAACAATTTATCAAATTTTGAACATTTACACAGAATTTAGGACAAGAACTTGAAGGTATTGCTCTCTACTTCCAGGCAACCTTGAAGTTTCTGCAAGCTGCTTTTCTTTCAGAGCCATCTAGTAATGCTGACATCAAATATAATGAATTAAATGAATTATTGAAAACTTACACTCAGACGGCAGGTTTATGCGAGTAAGTCAGTTTACAGCAAGAAGTTATTATGATGGATATCAGTGCACATACGTTTTTGAAATATTTGTGAATTTGCAAAACATTTAGCTTATCTAGCTTATCTTACAGATGTTCCTTTCTAGTTAAATACCTTCTACAGAACTGTAATCTTAATCCTAGTAAAAGGTGGTGTTTAACTATGGTGGAAATGGAAGGAACATCGCTGAAGTTAGCTACCTGAAAACACCAATATTTTCTCTTATGCATTTTTTTTCTTAAATTTTACCTGTCATGCTGTTTGAAATGCAGAACATATCTTGAAAATCTTATGCTTTATTATTAAGGTGCATTAGTTCCTCTCATGCATTTGTGTGCATTAGTTTCTAGGGCTGTATTGTGATGTCATCATTACTATATACTTGCATTGTCTTGTGATCATGTATACTGATTAGCTTTTGACATTTTCTTCTTTCATTTCGATCATGTTGTTTGTGTTGTATTTCATTTTTTGCATGATAAATTCCCAACTTCTCTTAGTATTTATATTTTGATTGGCATGGCTTCTATAAATAGGTTAGGTTATAAATTGACCCTTAAAGCTTATTTGTCACAACTCGGCTCGAGATTTTGGAATATTAAGGTGGGAATGAACGGTCGGATAGAGGAAGAACTATCTAACATTTTTATTTCTTAAACAAAAGCATCTAAAATAAAAAGAGTCATTCTATTTCACAAAACTCTAATTTACAACAATTTGTTCAAATTTAAAAATTTTACAGCTAGTAGCAAAGTAAAAACTAGAACATTTCTCTCTGGGCTCCTTGACGTTTATACACATAGTTTTTAGGATTCATCTAATTCCCAACTTCTCTTAGTATTTATATTTTGATTGGCATGACTTCTATAAATAAGTTAAGTTATAAATAGACACTTAAAGCTTATTTGTCACAACTCGGCCCAAGATTTTGGAATATTAAGGTGGGAACGAACGGTCGAATAGAGGAAGAATTATCTAATATTTTTATTTCTTAAACAAAAGCATCTAAAATAAAAAGAGTCATTCTATTTCATAAAGCTCTAATTTACAACAATTTGTTCAAATTTAAAAATTTTTTAGCTAGTAGCAAAGTAAAAATTAGAATATTGTACATATCTCTCTGGGCTCCTTGACGTTTGTACACATAGTTAGGATCCATCTATTTTAAAGAAAGTTTTCCTGAAAAAATATTAGCAACTAGAGGTATATGTTAAGCTATTCCGTGAGAAAATATCTCTAAATTATAATAATTCACATTTTAAAAATATTTTGTAAAAAAATAGTAAGCAGTAGGAAGAAGAAGGTAAAGAAATCAGTTTTATTGTTTCTTTTATTTATTTTGGTTTTATTGCATGTATGATATTTCATTTCTTTCTGTTATTTAATATTGGCTTTAAACAATTAAACATATGAAAAGCATGAAATTTACATTTTGAAAGTAAAATATTGAAAGAGTGAAAAATTTGCAATTTATTTCAGAAATGAAAAGAACTACTATAAAATAAAAACATATTTACTCATCTATTCAACACAGTTATATGTCACTTCCTCAGGCCAACTTAATTATTTGTTGTACGTATAACACATTAACTTTGATTAGCCTCTATTCATTTTTTATATTGTTTCATGCTAATACTAATTTTACTATTTTATTATTATTATTATTTAGATAAATTTTTTTGCAATTTATCTAATTACTTATCTATTTTTTATTTTATATGAAAATATATATTGTTGCAGTTAATATAGCACAATTAAATCAATTAACTAATTTTTTTTTTCTTGCATGCTTGAATTAGGAGTAGGGGTTTATGTGAGTCAAGCTGTCTCGTGAGCTAGCTCGAGCTCGGTTCGATAAGTTGCTCGTGAACTTAGCTTGATGAGCTAACAAGCCAAGCTCAAGCCAACCTCGACTTCACTCGTTATTGGTGAGCCGGCTCTTTTAAAAAATATATCAGTTTAAAATATACTTAAAATATATTAAATTTCAAGACTTTATCTTAAAGTATTAAAATTATTTAAAAAGTAATATTTTATATTGTAGATTAGGTGATTTTTTATTATTTATCTCTTAATTATTCATTTATATTTGTCATTGTATTATAAAGCTAGCTTAAATTAATATCATTTTCTCTCTTTTATAATAAACAAGCTAGCTCGAGAGCCGGCTTGAACTAATAGATCTAAGTTCAAGCTCGAGCTGGTACTTGATAAAAGTAATTAAGCTCAAAATCAAGTTGAGGGTAGCTCGAGCTTGGCTTGACTCGTTACACCCTTAATTAGGAGCAACTTTTTAGGCTTTTAAATGTAGGGTTCTTAAATTTTAGCTTTGGTTTAATACAATTTAATTAGAAAAATAACACTTAAGTATTTAAATCGAGCATCATACTTGACATTTCTATTCTTTGTTTCAACTTCCAAATCGGAGCCCTAACATATATTTATAAAATTCGGAAATTTGAGTTAGTTTTTTGAATTTTCCATCAAATTAACTATGACTCAATTTTTTTTAGCAAAAATATAATAAACAAATGATTAAATAGAAACTCTAAGTTTAACATTTCTTACCTAAAGATGTTAAATGTCCCTTACTCTTGCTGTTGAGTCGTTTCCTTGTATCCATAGCACAAAAGCATGAAAGGCTCTATACGTTTGTAGGAGATGTCGCTCGGTCAGTCGAGCATCTCCTGCACGCTAGAAAGTTTCTTGCAAGCCGAGCATCTCTCATATGCAAGAATAGTTTTTTGCAAACCGCTTCTTGCTCCCAAAGCTCGCAATCACTCGTCTGGGTGCCTGACGAAAAACTCCACACAACAAGGGGGAAGTCGCAAGCACTTATTCTTTTTTTTTTTCATTTGGTTAGAGCACGAGATCCCCTCTTGCTCATAGTTTGTCGAAGACGTACAAGGAAGGCTTGCTTGAGCCACTCGTTTTTCCTTCCCTTCGGTCACGCCTTGCACGACTTCATCGAAGTCGCTTGGTAACCCTCTCGATCTAGCTTTCTCTTTCCTTCCCTTCCCTCTCCTTTGTTCTCGTACCTCTGCTCTTGCTCTCTGCTCTTGGTTTCTTTCTTGGAGTGAAGAAACGTGGGGATAACCCTTGATTAAGACTCGTGGGTGATGAGACTTCCCTTCGAACGACACCTACTCCACTTTCCTTCGAACAACACCTACAAAGCAAGTGTCGAGAAGACCTGGGCGTTGGGCGGGCCGGGTTTGGCATGGCCTGGGCTTATTCAGACTTTGACTAGTCAAAGCGGACTCGGGTCGGGCTTGAGCCCGAATTCTTTTTATAATTTCATAGCCAAGCCCGCCCACTAAATGGGTTGTCCCAGCCCGCAGGCCACCATGATCTTTAAAAGAAAACTATTTTTTTATATAAAAAATTAATAAATTATAAATTTTTTTTACATTTTCTCTTGAACCATGTTGTTGATTTAAAATATCAAAAAATTTATGTAATATAAATGTTTGATATATGAACAGATGTGCGACAAGAGTTTTAACTTGATTTTATATGTACAATTTTTTTTATACGTTTAAGTGAATTTAATAGCAAATGTATAGACACAAAATACATAAGATTTTAAACTGAGAATATCTCGATATGTAAATACAAAGGAGTTGAGTAAAATACTTAAAAAAAATGATTTATATACATACTACTCAACAATTTATATTTAATTACATATCTAACACCCGATTTTCAATTTTTACATATTTGTCATCTCATATATACATGAAAGTTGTATTTCATTTAAAAAAAAATTAAAAGTGATAATTTTTATGTGATATAAAAGATTTGGTTGGTATTAATATAAAAATAAAAATTTATGACTAGGTAAAGAAGAGAAAGGATTAGGAAATTAATCGCCTCAAAATTTTACAATTGCAAAATATATTTATGAGATTGGGCCATTTAGTGGGTTGAGCTTGACGTTGGTCGGGCTCATTCAGGCATTGACAAAGTCAAAGTGGGCTAATGTCGGGTTAGGACCACAAAATTTTAATTTTTCCATAGTCAACCCCGCCCATTCTAACCGACTTATAGCAAGCCCGTCGGGTTGCCCGCTCAATGAACAAGTCTAGTAGAGAGTGGTAATTTTACATTTTTTTTTAAACAGTCAAGTTAATTAAAATTTTAAATGATTATTGTTACTTTGCTTTATACTTTATTTTTAGTAAGGGTTTTAGAAAATCTTGTTGTTCATTGTAACTCATGTTTGCCTCACTTTGAAGCTCATGTTTGTCCCTATCATTATTGACCTTGTCATACTTAAACATATATTTGAGCTTGCTTTCTTCACAAGTGAAATTCATCTTCTAATGGATAATGTTTAGGAGAATTTGCATGCATACTACACAAATCGAATGTCTATAGACATCTAACTCTTACTTTTTACATTTACTTGTGTAACACTTAAATCTTTAACATCACTTTAAAATACTGCTAATATTTAATTGCGACAGTGAATGTGGCTGAAATTTTGGAGTTGCCTGATAGGTCAATTTTCTATGCGTTAGCGTTCAACTTTTTTAAAATGCAGAAAGGTTCATCGGCGCTGGGCTTGAGTTTGTTGTAAAAACCTATAGGAAATCGTTCTTTCTTAAGGCAGATCCACATGAAGTCTCCTTCTTTAAATGTTACTTATTCTCTAGATTTGTTAAACTGTGCTTGATTGTTATGCCTTTGTTTAGAGATTGTTTCCCCAACTTTCTTGTGGAGTTGTTGAATTTAGTAAGCATGTTTTGTTGCATTCTCGTTGATATCTACTGGGGGAAGAAGTGGAACCAATTCAAGAGGCATATTCAGTTTGCGGTCATACACGATGTCGAATGGTGTGTGTTTTGTGATCTTGCTTGTTGATCTATTATAAGCAAATTCGGCTTGAACAAAAATGAGATCTCATTATTTGATATTTTTCCCAACGAAGCAGTGAAGAAGATTCCCAAGACTTCTATTAACTACTTTGGTTTGCCCATCT